CTAAATTCTAAGCGAGTGCAGTACTTCACCTGCCCTGCGTGCACTATCAAACTGACCAGACTTACCACAAGAGTGGCACCACCACACCCCATCCAAGGAACAAGCTGACGATCTGGAGCCTACGTTGTCGCCCGATCTTCCGATTTGCTAGTTTCCATCATAGTGTAGTCCGCAGGCCTATCCAGGTTTATCCCGGTCGGAGGTGATCATGGCAGAGTCCATCACCAAAGGCCTCGGCCAAATTGGTCTTGGGGAAGAGCCAGCTGAGGGCAAAATGCCCACCCCAAGGGCTGAGCTCGAAGCCACTATTCAAGAGCTAGTGGCGCGTGGCAATCATCTCAACGACGAGGTAGAGACTTACATTGCTGCGGTTCTCGAGAAGCAAAAGGTCGGGAAGGTCTACAATCCAGTTGAGTACGTAGATGCGATTACAATGATATAGTCATCTAAACGAAGGCTCCCCGCCTTCCCAGATTAAACCTCATATGACCCTGGAGGTGTTCGCGGTGGATCTGCTTTCACATTGACAGTACACAACATAGCGCATACCTCCAGGGGAGGTTCTTCTGAGAAGGGGTGAGCTGCTTCGTGATTAGATTGGCAGTCTCAGACCACAACTAACCGTACTAGATATCGAAATCTTCGCAATGACATGCGCAACGAGCTAGCCTTCCTACAGAAGATTGCGGGATCGTCCATGGATGAGGAAAAAGCCCGGCACTACATTGTATCTTCAAATCTTCTCTACTATGAAGCACTATGGGGCGCAGCAAAGCGCTCAATGGGAATCCAAAGCTTCCGCAAATACTTCTTCTGGGACCGGCATAAAGCTCCAGCGGGCAAAAGTACAACAAAAGGAGTCAGCCTGGCAAAAGGAAGCCAAGCCAAGAACAAGACCTCTGCTCTCGTTGATATCGTTGCAGAAGAAGGTGCGGAGTGGATACGGGTATCAACCGTCTCCGAGAAGCGTATTCTATTCGATCTTGCGAAGTTGGGTTGGGTAAACGACTCGGACTCTGAAGACGATGAAGATATGCCGCCTCCACCGGAAGATGACGATGACGATGAAGACCAAATCGACGTGGTGCGCAACGCGCGAGGTCTTGCAAGAGCTGCGCGTGCAAATCCTATTCGCGGCCGACCACCCAAGGTGCGGTTCGTCTTAACACGGATCTCTGCTGGGAAAACACCAGCTATCGATATGATCATCAACAAGATACGCGCTACCGGTGCGATAGTACAATGCGGAGACGACGTTCCACCCGCGCTCTCCATAGAAGCTGTTCTACCGCGTCTACTCATCGATAGGTCCCGGGCCCTCAGCGACACATTGAACATCGATTGCACCATTCTATTGGCCCTCATATCCGACATATCCCACAAACCATGCCCGATACTGGACTGGTATCCAGGGGAGGTACGCTCCCAGATCGAGGAGGAGGCTCAAGAGCACCTGCTACCAACACATCTATACCCTGCCATCGGCGCGCATCCGATGGTGTGCACGCGCGAAGCAGCCGAGCAGATGAACCTGATAGTGCAGACTCTTGCGACTGACACGGAGAAGACAAGAGCGGATCTACTATTGGGACAAGGAGACTGCGCATCATGGTCACATCAAGAACTAGTCGCAGTATGGGTACGTCCCCTCACATCACCCCCCAACCTTATACAAGGGAAAAAGATAAACACCCTAGAGCCTACGTTGACGTTGGGCCACCTACTTTGCATATTTTCATCTCGATGTAGGCTCTACGGTGTTCAGCTCTTCCCTCACGTCACCCCAAACAACCCAAAGCTAACATCCCCACCAGGCCGCACTATCCGACTACCCCCCACCCCCCAACTTCGCCCTCCCCATAACCGTCAAATCCCCCAACGTCGACACCATCACCGACAACCTCCCCCGCGCCGCCACGGCCGTCGCCGCCGAACTCGGCCACCTCAACAAGTCCATCTTCCTCTACGGCTGGGCCGAGAGCCTCACCACCCTGAGCGCGAACCGCGGGCGCGCAAAACAGATTGAGCATATCATCAATGAGCATGGGCTCAAGGACGGTGAGGCTGGGCCGCATATCTGGCTGTGTGGGGAGAGCAGGAGTTTGATTGCGAAACATGGGAGGAGGAAGTAGGCGGGGGAAGGGGAGGTTTGGCTGCACCTTGTATAAGAAAAATGCTGGACAGGTCTAGGACCTACATCGATGCTGTGTTACCTATCTTGTAGGTTTTTATGTTGATGTATGCTGCAGGCCTGTTTAGAGTTTTTCTTGATTAACGTGGCTGAGTATTGGGTGTAGGGGCAACGCGCACGTTTCGTAAGCCGAAGCTGGAGAGGGGGGCGGAGGAGGAGATAGCGATGTGGTAGCGGGGATCGAGGGGTGGTGAGGAGGGAGTTCAGCCTCTCTATCAATTAGTCTGTAATTGTGTAATATTCTACCTGAGATGTCTTTGATGCGCTATTCCCGCCGAAACGGAAGCAGCCGATCTACTTGCAGTACGCACTGCCCAAACTCAAGTCCGAAGTAATGATCATAGTGTAAACTATACTGAATGATCGCAGGGTAGATTGCGTTCGCAGCCTTAACCGTGAAATCGCGCTCCTCCCCAAACGTCCCAAACTATAAAGCCAGCGCGGAGTACGTGCCACGGAGGCATGTTGGCGGGTGTTTGGAACTCTCGAGGCGTATGATCAAGCCAGGCTGCACGCCATTCTTCCAGTGAGTCACCCCTCCGCTCGCGGATGATTTCCTCCGGATTGCACACCGTACCTGGGTGGAAGTCGCAATGAATGAAAGGGTGGTCACAGTTGGTGACTTGCTCTAGAAGCTCTGGGAAGGTCTCGTATACGTATGCCTTGCGGAGTCTGCGCTGGTGCCAGGTTGGCTGCGGTAGAATATGCCGTGCATAACTTAGATCCAAGGCAGTCTGCCATGCAGCATCTCGCTGGAGGACGTTGAAGACCTGTGTAGTCTCTGCGGGGGCGGAGTCGCATTCAAAAGTTAGCTTGAAAGAGCCCTCGGGCATACCCAGGGAGGGTAATATAGATGCTTCTACCATCCACTTCCCAAATGCTTTTGAGACGTAGCTGGAGCTAAGTCGATCGTCTTCTGAGTATCGCCCGTTCAACTGGTACCGTATCACAGAGGTTACGGGGAACGCGTTTTTCCAGAGACTGACACGCCTATGTACGCGCAACTTCGGGTGCTCACGACAGAACGATATCAGTCCCCTGCCATGGCATTCCGGGAACGAAATAGACTCTCGGTCCTCGATGAGTTCAACCTGTCGCACGTGCTCACGCGTATCGACGCGGAGAGACCGAAGGAAACGTATTGCGCATGCTGCTGCTGACAAGGAGTGTTTCATAGTCCCGACACGATCATGGGTTCTGGTTATGTCGACTAGTTGCTGGAGTTCGCGGTCAAATGTAGCCGCAAGGTCGTGACCGAGTCTGCCCTGGGCGCAATAACCAAACTTTCCCTCTGCACCACGTGGGAGTCTGCCCCTCTCGTTGGGCGTTGACCAGGGTTCGGGATTCACTTTTCGTAGACTTCGGCGCTTGCGTTCGGAACGTTTGCCGCCCAGTTTGGGGTGGTGTTTGCGGTCATACAAGAGATTCAGTGTGAAATGAACAAAATCGCGATACGTCGATGGTGGCTCTCCCAAGGTGTTCGGGCGTTCACCTGGCGTTCCTAGTGTCGGCAGGACCCGTGAGAACTGTGGATATTTGACGGAGACTTCTTTTTGGATCCCTTCAGTTAACAGACGCGGAGCTTGGAGATTGAGTAGGTTGAATTTGAGGGCGTGTAACTCGGAGAGCGCTCGGTGGAATAAAAACGCATGCGTTCGAATGGCATGCGGGTAGGTTGTGCAGAACACGACCTTGTTAAGCCGCAGAGCAAGGCCTCGAAGCTCGAGTGCGGCCGCCTGACAAGTGTACGTCAATGACAAATCGACAGGGAGTTTGTTGGTTTCGAAACTGTAGATAAGGCCGTCTTCGTTATATAGGTAATGGTGGTAGATGACATCTCGAAGTTCCCTAGGGAGACGAAAGAGTCGGGATTGAAGCTGCGTGCTTGCTGGGGGGCTCGAAGGCGGCATGGTGGAGATTCGCAAAACAATCTGTCGACGAGAGGTAGCAGATACTCACTACTCACATCTTGGTGGAATCAATGACGGAATGTGTCGAACGTTGTTGACGTGATGAAGATGTACATGTGGCGCGCAAGCGTGACTCATCAGCAATAGAGCACCTGTCAAAGCCGCATCCAAAGACGTGAGTCAGGTACTCCGGAAGGGCGTATTCGATCCTTCGTGACAGGCGTTGATTGCAGCCTGTATGTTACCTCAGTATACCGCGGTGGGAGGTGGCTCATAAGTAAGAACATTAAAGACAAATGCAGGTTCGCGCACTGCGTCCGAAGAATAGAGTGCGCTGTTGACGCAGACTGGGGGTGCATCTACCTGGTCTCTTCAATCGTTCCTCCGTCTTGAATCGAGCAACGTATCGACGTTGAATCGAGGTCATAAACGATCCATGGGTTTGTAGGTATGTCTTTGTCGAACTTCTGGTCGGCGCGTTGGATGTGGCTGCCTAAGACGCTTTAGTGTGTCGGCGCTGACGTCACCGACGCGTCTCAACGAACCGCATCGCGTCTGTTTCCATTAACCACTACCGCGTACCGGACGCGAGCTTCCCCGCCAACACGATACCGCCCGCCTTCTACAACCCTGCGCCTATTTCTGCTGCCTAGACGAGAGAGATATACCTAGTACACGCAATCACTAGCAATGGCGCATCGTGGCCTTACCAAGGTCTTCGAAGTGTCGCAGCTGGGTGAAGATGGAAGGCCACAATTACATGCCATCACGGTGTCTGGTTGACCACCGTAGCCTGACCAGATGAGCTCTTCTGCAATCCTACGTGGCCTTAAGTCGAGCTATAAGAACACCGTTCTGTTTCTCGATTTTCTGCTACCGACCGCCACAGAACCTTCACTATGAAGCCAGTTCAATCCATCGACCACTCCGAGACACCTGGGCTCGTCGAATCTGATGTGGAACATGTCGACAACATTCTGCCCACACCGCCGGCAATACTGCGCCTTCCACGCGAGCTGAGAGACCTCATCTATGAGCATTACGTCCAGGTCGATGGTGGCTACATCCACAACTTCGAGGTATGGGTACCATGACTCACGGCGTGTCAGATACATACTGACCCCACTTGTGCAGACAAACCGACTTCTACAGGCCGACGGTTCTCCCATCTCCACCGCGCTCATTCTTACATGCCGCCAGATCGCAGCCGAATTGTGAGGGCTTGCGCTCGGGCAAAATACCATCACCTTCTATACCCGCTTCTCGGAGTCCACACGACAGCAAGCCGGTCTATTAAACGGAGCGGTGTATACTATAAGGCATCGCAAGAAGATGCTGCTACGACACCTCATACCTCGGGTTCTCTCCAACGACATGGTACAACGGGCAATTGACGCATACCCGCAGTTCGCTCACATTTTTGACGATTGGACTCCGCACCGGAGTATCTCCGCGTTGTACAAGGACGATTTCGATTGCGGAGAAGCACCATCTATGTGGGAAGATTTCATCAACTATGTATTCAATCTGCTGTCGGAACACCCCGCATGTCACACAGAAGCGGAGTCTATGCCTGATTTCTGGACCGAGGAGGCACCTTGCAATGTGTTAGCTCTGAACGAGGCCTCTCCAGAACCTTGGCTTGTACAAACTTCTGCCGAAGTCAGCAGACTCGCAAGTATCGTGCAGGTCGAACCTCTCACATATTGCCCTTCTTTGGAATATCGCTACTCGGCGGCCTCCGTAGCCCTGCGCTTCCTCCATGCGATACCGTCTTCGTGCCGTAACGAAGTGCGGAATGTTGTGCTTCACGAAGACTGCGAATCAATCGCGAACGCGGCGTCTCACGGAAGAGGCTTCATCTCTTTATGTCGATCTAATCAGCGTCTCCGCGTTCGGCGTATCGTGGACATTTGGAGCACCGTACTTCGAGCGAGGCCTGACTCACAGGCCGACTACATATTACGCAGCGAGTCTCGCCGCGGCATCGATAGTATGGAAGACGACCGTCTATTCTCATCGACAATCACCAAGGCAGTGGGGGCATGGATCATTGAAGCTCAGGCATTGTCTTCACTCGGGATGCCCCAGGATTCGTTCAGCGTGCTATTAGACGGCACTCCTACGCTTGAACACACCTCTACTGTCTTCAAGATTGTACAGCAAGACATTGCCTGGCAACTAGCACTTGACGCTGCGTATGCTCGAGGACTTCTACCTACTCCTTCTTGGTATAAGCGACGAACTTGCGCGGGATACCAATACGAAAGGCTTCCAGCTGCGATCCGCGATATGTCAACTTGGAATGGGCCAATCAGCTGCAATTTTGATCCGGGTGCACCGGTCGACGTTGAGAGCGTTCTTGAGCTGCACCGTGGTTGGTCTTTACAACAGTGGCAACTGAGTTGGGACTGGCACCAGCCGCATAGCTTCCAAACCGAGGATCCATTGCCTCCGTGGCATGTGCTCAAATGGCTACGGGTGATGCTGTAGTTGCGGACCAGTGATGGTGGACCAATGGACTGGTGGACTATTTCTTTGGATCAGGTTCAGTGGCATTACCGGTGTTGCAAGTTCGCCAAGACAGCAGCCTAATGTTAGTACCATGGTACAGGTGGAGGAGCAAAGAATTTTGTTGCAGGCCTAAAAGTTTCGTCTTTCCTCAAGTACAACATCGAACAACGTCTTTATCACAAATCTACGATGCTGTATTAGTTGCAAATCAGTGGTCTCACTCGCAAATCTCTACGCTATCGCAATCAGCCCGCCTACCAAAGCACACCTTTTACAACTAGCTCAATTCAAGACCACCCCCCCTCCGAGTCTGAGCCGCATTCACATCGCCCGCAAAAGAATGTGAGTATTCAAACGCGACACGGCCTCGCCCCCAGCTAACCGCCGGCTAGTTCACCAAGCCGAGGCTGCATTTGTAGAGGACGAATATACTCAACGACACCATCACCATCATGTCGCCTCTTCTACAACTGCCGCGCGAGCTGCGCAACCACATCTACGATTACTACTTCAGCTGTGATGGGGGCTATACACACGTTTTCGAAACGAACAAGCTAAGCCGACGATCAACCGATCGAATTGTCTCTCGTGCTGAGCTGCCGGCAAATCGCCGCCGAAACCCACGGCCTTGCCCTGCGAACCAATACACTTCGGTTCACGACTTTCCACTCGGATGCCACGCAGGAAGATGCCGTCTTGCTCCATGCAAGCAACAATGCCATTTGCTACATCAAAGAGTCGATACTCAACTACGCAACGCATGACTATCTCAGCGAAGAGCAAGCACAGACGGCGAGGGAAGCGTATCCGCAATTCTCGCCGGTGATTGGTCACTGGCAGTCGCCGCGTCACTCGATAATCCATCGCGCCCTGTTTAGGCCTTACCTGATATGTGGTGAGGCTCCGTCCATTTGGCACGACTTTGTAGCCTTCACCTTGGATCTAGTCTCTCAGCACCCTGAATTTCTGAAGAATGCTAGAGTATGGTCTGAGCTGCCGTTCAAGAACAACGAATATCATCTGGTTAGCGATGTTGATACTAGACCTTGGGAAATCCCAGACGGCACGGAAATTGCGAGGCTGCGGAGGATCTCGGGACAGCCCTTCGACACTTTCCACCTTTCTGCTCGCACAAAGCACGCTTATTCGGCAGCCTCAAGAGCTCTTCTCTTTCTGCACTCCGCGCCCGAGACTACACGCGAGAACATTCGGGAGATCCTGTTGATTGAGAACCGCGAATCGATATCGCTTCCTGAGAGCCATGGCAGAGGATTCATCCCTTTCTGTCAGACATATCCACAGCTCAAAGTTGAACGCCGCGCCAGTCTTTGGAGCAATGTCTTCCCTATCGCTTCGCATAACTTGTCCAGTTATTTGGAAAACGATCAAAGCTTGTTTGATAAAGGTGATGAGGGGCATTTGTTCCTCACCAGATGTTACGCCGAGGACATGACTAAGGCGATGGGTACGTGGATAAAGGAGGCAGAGACCCTTGTGTCGCTCGGCATGCCACATGGCTCTTTCACTCTCGTTCTCGATGGCGATCCTGTGCCAGAGCTTTCATCGCGCGCCTTCCACGTAATTCAGCGCGACGTCGCATGGCAGACCGCCCTCGATACCTGCTACGCCCGGGGAATTCTACCGCAACCTTCCTGGCTCGATCGGCGACTAGGTACCCGTGGTTTCATCTATGAAGGACTACCAGAAGCAGTTCGAGCTCTTTCCACCAATAGCCCGCTCATCAGAACCAACTTTGAGCTCCCTCCACCTTACGATGTTGAGCAACTACTAGAAGAGAACAGAGGATGGTCTGCGCATTACTGGGATATAAGCTGGGACTCACACAAGCCGAAAGTGTTCCAGACTGAGCCACCACTACCACCTTGGCATGTGCTTCGTTGGGGACATGTCATTTGGAGGCCCTAGGCTTTGGGATTCGTTGGAACAAGAGTGGCATTCAGTGTCAACTGCGAACCAAGGGCCAAGGCATTCATCAAGCGTGTAATCTACAATCAACTTCAATGGAATCCTTTGCTTAGCCGATCCTCTTGTCTAGTGTGATGTTACGGCTTCATGCCTGCATGTTGTGCTGATACGTCGTTGTTGCTGTGGCGAAATTGGGGGAATTGTACGGAAGGTGGGGCGAGCCGAGGCTTGCCTATGAACGGTAACGCGTGCGCACTCCATCCGAGCACGCCAACCTAAGAAAAGCACTAAACACCCCAGAGCCTACGTTAACGTTATATCACACACTTTTAACGTCCTTATCTTTACGTAGTCTATAATATGGTTTTCATATCAGAATATTCTCGCCATCTGGTCTTTCGAGAGTGATTCTGCTGGAATTCTGGGTGCGTGGCTGAGCAGGTTTTGTGTGGAAGCGGGCCTCTCTACCAGACTACGCGGCTCCACGCACCTGGATACACTTCTGCAAAAAGCGCCCGGTCTGTGGCACTTTGCACAACTACTCAACCTCCTACTCCGTTACGCTCAGCTCATCAGTCTACAAGACTTCACCAAACCGAGTCGCGACGCTATACAAACGATGTCCTTTAGCCTCCTCCGACTGCCGCGCGAACTTCGCGATATGATCTACGAGCAATATTTTGCAGTCGAAAACGGCTACCTCTACGATGCTGAGCTCGGAAAACTCACACAGGCCGATAATTCACCTATATTGCTGTCCCTCTCCTATACCTGTCGCCAGGTCGCGTGCGAAGTCCGAGGTCTCGCCTTTCGCATCAACACAATTACGTTTTCAACGTCTGACTTGCAGCGCGAACAGGTGGCTGCAGGTGTACATCATGCTGTGGTTGATGGTCTTGGACACCGGAAGGAGATCATGCTTCGTTCGCTCGTATCTCAGCTTCTTACCCGCGATATGGTGGAGTTAGCAGTCAAAGCGTATCCACAATTTGCGCCGGTATTCGACGGCTGGAGTCCAGGAAGTGATATTCCTATCTTCCACAAGAAGGTTTTCCATTGTGGGGAGGCCCCTTCTGTCTGGATGGATTTCAAACACTATCTTCTGGATTTGATGTCAAAACATCCTCTTTTCGTCGAAAGAGCTTCTGCTATACCCCGAATCTGGGTTACGCATCGCCTCAATCGAGTGGATCGCGCATCATGGAGACCTTGGTTCATCCCTATTTTCGTACACCGCATTCTGGATCTGATACCAAAACATCCTTGGTTCGTCGCAAGAGCGCCCGTTATACCAGAACTCTGGGATAAAGAATTCATCTGCCGCGCAACTGAAGTAAATGATGCGTCACCAAAGCCTTGGCTCATTCCTGATCCCACTGAGCTTGAGCGATTAGCAAGCATCCTCAACCTCAACCTCGAGCGACCTTTTTTCGAACCCCAAGCGAAGTTCACATACTCTGCGGCTTCTATTGCGCTTCGCTTCCTTTACACCCTCCCAAACACTCTGCGAAGCGAGATAAGAAGCATCACGCTTCTAGAAAACCACGAAACTGTGGCATACGCAAAGAGTCATGGAAGAGGGTTCATAGAACTGTGTCAGTCTAACCCGAAGCTTCGTGTCAAGCGCGTTATCAGTCTTTGGCGAAACGCATTCCCAGTAACGCCTGATAAGAGGTTCGAGTACGGGCTAGTAAGCGAGATTTGCGGAGAAAATGGTGAGCTAGATCAACATGCCATGGCAAGCATTGGAAATGATCGTTTGCTTTCAAGACACATCTCCAAAGCGGTGGGCGCATGGATGGCGGAAGCCCTGGCTTTGCCCAACCTCGGGATGCCGGAGGGTTCATTTCGTCTTGTCTTCGAAGGCGAGCCTACTTCACCGGACACACCCACAGCCGATGCATTCCGGGTAGTGCAACGAGACATCGCTTGGCAATGTGCCCTGGACACCGCCTACTCTCGTGGTCTGCTGCCAACACCATCTTGGCAGAAGCGTCGGCTCCAGGTCACATATCTATACGAAGGCCTCTCGGGTATCATCGACAACTTGGCGAAGGAGGATGCTCTCGTCAGTTGCAACTTCGAATTAGGCCCTTCGTATGACGTTGAAAGGCTCTTGGAGGAGCATAGCACCTGGACTGCACAGGACTGGGACCGCAATTGGGACACGCACGAACAGGAAGGATTCGATACGGCAGTCCCATTGCCACCATGGCATATGCTTCGACTGCACCGTGTCCTCGGCTGCTAGAAGATCGAGCTTCAAATATGATAATGAATTATAACCTTCTACATCTTGGACGGTTGTACCTAGTATATTACCAACATCAGTCTTCACACTCAAATCCATAAGAAGCATCCCCCCACTCTCCATTCCTATCCTTCCACCACGCACACGGCGTCTTGCACTCGCAAATCGGTGGCCTAAACAATTCTGTCAGCTAAACAACACCTTCACGACAGCGTACCTAGGTATATCACACTCACAATTCCGCCGCGGGTATTGCCAGAATCTTCGCCACCTCACCTTCCATATCACACCTCTCACGAGGCGCACTCTCCAACTCCCTATCCCGCAAGAGCGGATCCCATTTCACATGGTTCGACTTCTTAACGTGTCCTGAAATCGTGACTTTCTTGATCCGTTGCAACAGCTCGTAGCCAAGTGTTGATACGATATCAACGAGTTTCTTCTGGCACGAGATTCTCCGTTCGGGGTCTTGAAGACCCCATGGGTCCCAGGAGACTTTTCTCGAGATGGTGTAGTGTTCTGGTTTCAGGACCTGGAATTGGAGGTTTAGGTGGCGCAGAGTGGTAATAGTTGTTAGTTGCTTTAGACAATCTTGATTCGTGTATGATGCCTTGCTTTTGATAGCTCCATCGGAATGGTGACAAGTGTCGTAGCCGACGAATCCGAGGTACTCGTCGTTGGTGAGACTGAGTGATATGTAACTTAGGAGGGAGTAGCCTTGGGGAGTGAACGCCGGACATACTTGTTCCTGTTGTGTGCAGTAGGTCTTGTAGTATAAAACGACGTCGTTGAGGACGTAGAGTAGACTGAAGCGCTTAGTCGACATACCCCAGACGACGACTGCGACTTCGTTACGGACCTTGTGGTTGACAAGCATCAAGCTGGTTGCTGATATCTCGTCCGCCCGTGTCGCACCAATCCCGGCGTGCGAGTCCTCTGGCGGGGCGCAGACACCGACGGGATTGACCTCCCTCCGGTACGTAGCAAAGGCTATTGGGTGTATAGCATCGAAGAGTCCTTTGGAGTAGTCTTTAGTCTCGTCAAAGATGATTCGGCTAGCCCCGTGGTGGCCGTGGTCTTCGTGATTACAGATTGCCGGATCAGATCGGCGGTTAGCAAGATGCGGCCAAATCTGCTTCCCGACTACAAGTTCGTATACTAGCAATCGCAGCTCCACTGGCAGATCCATGAACCGGAAAGGCAGTCCGGTGCTGTTTTGAAATACTTCTAGCTCCGTCTGTCTGACGGCATGTCCACTGTAAAGGTCTCTTATCCACTGCCTAGCAGATACCCAGTAGCACTGTGAGCCTGGATAAAGATACTCTTCGTACACGTTGTAGCTTTCTTCTTCGTATAACTCTAGCTCAGAAGCGTCTTGCAGGTGCCCTCGCCGTACAAACAGATTATACTTAGCCTTACTAGCGGGGAAATAAATTCTGCAATGCGAATAGTAACCGACTTCGGTGACAAGTATTTCTTGTGCAACAGGTATGATCATGCAGTTGGAAACTCTCGTGGCGAAAGTAGGGCTTTGTATGCATTCTTCGTCTAGTATGCATTGCAGACGCGCGAGTATCGGGTCCTGGAAACGTTAGCAGTAACAGAAGAAGACGCGGAGACGTACATACCAGCGTTACTTCTGAGCCTCCAAGCTTCAGAAGGACAACTTCTTGACTCAGATGATATTCATTTATGAGAGCGGAGATAGTTTCGTCATCCATCTCATCTTCGTCGCGGTATGGTGATGCAAGTTCCTTGTAGACACTTGGAGGGATCGCAGTCGGAGGGCATTTAGAGTTTTCGTCGCACATGACGTCGGCACGAAGGGGCGAGAGTGAGCGGAATAGATGATAAAGGTGAGCAGGCTGGGCCGATGGTCGTTGCGAGGTATGTATGACTGGGATTAGCATGAGTCCGAAAAGTCTGTGAAGGGCGCATTACGATTGCGCACGTGGGATTGGGAACGTACCATGGATCAATAATGACAACGATTGGCGAGTCGCCTTCAACGTCCCACATCGCAGTGTTGGAGACAAGTAGGTTTCAGAACTTCTTGGTTTCTTTTGTGATCACATCAAGGCTGCTGAACACAACAGGCTGAGATACAACCGGAGGCCTTCCTCTTCTCATCAACGTGTAATTGGATTACAGACTAGAACCATGAGGCAGTGCGTCATCACTGTAAGCCCTCGGTAGTGTCCGCTATGGTACCCACAGGGAGGTTTCAAAAGGCGTGAAAGTAACATCATAATGTCCATCATTATATCACTACAAGTTATACCTCCAACAGCCCCTTTACCTCCTTAACCATCAAGCTATCCTCACCGGCCTTTGCTTGAACCTTCCCAATCGTACCCGCAGCATCCATAACCTTCCACGTATCTCTCAATTCACCCTGCATATCCGCGGCATACACGAGCCAACCAACACATATAACACCCATCTTCTGGTTCTCGCTCCACTGCTCTTCGGTGCCAATGTTCTCCAGTAGAGAAGCCAAGAGCTCGCCTTGTTCCGCGTCCGGCAGTTCGGCCTCGGAAGATAACGAGGCGGAGGGGTTTGCGCTGTGCTTCTTCATGCGTATCTGATGGTGCGAAGATGCCATGTTCATGGCTAGGCTGAGAGCCGAGGCTTTGAGCGCGGGGTGTTTCTCGTCGAGGAGCGCGGTTGTTAGGATGGAGATTAGCGTTGATGAGAGCGGGGGAGAGAGGAGGTGTGGTATGAAGAGTGGCGACGAGAAGAGATTGCATGCGAGATGCAATGTCGTAAGTCTAAGAGGGTAAGGCGCGGAATTGCCGAGCTTGTCGACGTGGTCCAGCAGATGGTGTATAGTGGCAGGTGTGCCAGTTGCTCCTTTGTGTTCTTCCGCGAAGAAGCCGGCCACGCGGACGTCGGTCAAGGCCACCCTGAGCAGATCTAGGGCCGTGAACAGAAGCTCTGGTGGGAGTACTGAGGTGCTGTTCCTCAGGAAGTTTGCGAACTGCGGCAGATCCCCCAGAGGTGCTTCTATGGCCCCAGATTGTTCGCGAGTCTGTATGAAGGATACCACTGACGAGACAGCTGGCTCTTTTCCTGCATCTCCCATCTTCGCGACAAGCTTCTCCAGTGGGGGCACCTTGGTGAACTTGACAGGCCTTTGGCTTTGCCGCAACAGCATGGGTGTGCTCTTCTCGAGATGTGGGTGCGTTGGGAACGCAGCATTGACCAGCATCTCCACGTTATTCCGCAGCTGCCTCGGATCAGCCCCACTCCACTCGTCTCGCTTTTCGCCCTTGAGGTATGTTATGAATGTCGGGGTTGCGCGAACGTTCGGGTAGCGGGCGTTGATGGAGCGATCGGCGTGGCTGAAGTCGATTTTGATGAAGACACACTTGGTGCCAGTCCCGGCGGCGAGGTCGTCGTACGGTTGGTACACCAACTTGCATGGCGCGCATGTGGAGCTCGTGAAGAAGATGATGGCGCAACGGTCTTTCGCGAGATCGAGAAGGCGGTCTACGTCCTTCAGTGCTGTTATGTTGTTGACCCTACCCGTGTTCATTTCCAAAGCACTGCCCCCAGAAGAGACCCCGTTGGATGTACTTGCGGTCGACGCTTTCGTATGGGCTTGCGGTTGTACCGGCTGCGGTGTGGGCGCTTGGACGATGGGTCGCATAGCGGCGTCGATTTGCGGTTTGAGCATCTGTCCGAACGGCGTGTTCAAGACGGTCTGTGGGAGGGAAGTGATGTGGTCTGGTATTCCCTTGCCGACAAGGAACATGGCGAAGTCGTTGGAGAAGTTGTTGCAGTTGTGCGCGAAAAGATCGTATGACTGGGTTGACGGTCAGCATACCCAGAGCATGCATGCGAAAGGCACCCTACCTCGGCAGTATATATCTCCTTTAAAGACTCTAGGTACTCCAATATGACCTCCATAGGAAGCGCAGTCTGCCCTAGCTTGATGACTTCCATCGGCCGGCCATGGTGAGTGGTGCCTGCCCGGCATGTCTGCACGCCTGATCCGTAGTAGTATTCTATGCCGTCGAGTACGATTGAGGTGTGATATACGGCATCGATCTGTTCGGAAGGATGTGTCAGCGGATGCACCCAGTATTGGAAGATATATGGCTTACCTGAATGCCCAAGAATTGTCGCGACATGCTTCGCGCAAGACCCTAGATGCCGTCAGCTCTGAACACGTCTGCAAAGCGTCGCGAGAGATCGCGCGTGCCACTTACTTGAGAAAGATCATACACATACAGTTCGACGTCCATATTGAAGGTTTTTTGTAGACGGCTATGGCAGTGCCTGGGTAGTATTACGCTTCGTGGATATGTGAAGGCGTTGTTCGGGATGCTGTGGTAGATAAGAAGATGACGTAGAACATTCCGGAAGGCTGACGAACGCTCGGGGACGCGATCCGCCCGCGGGCAACATCGCGCTAGCACCTGACATGACACACGCGTCGCGCCTTCGCCAACCTTGGAATCTCTCTCATTTAGTGGTCTGAAATCACAGCGCATGCTTCTTGAGGAGTCAATATTACAAAGCCTATCTGTCCCCATCGAAGCAACAAGAGACCGCCTTTGAAGACATAGCAGGCGATCTAGACGAACATGGCAGTCGCGCTGTGGATTGACACGCATTCGTAGCTACATTACTCTTTACCTGTACCCCAAAAGGTTTAGGCGCGACATTCGGAAGTACACTTCGTCATATAAGGCGTCCTAGCATCACGCGAGGTACATTTAGGCAGCAGCCGACGCTAATATCGCGACACGCACCCAAGGCTTTTTTGCGAAACTTTACACTCTCAGACTGATTATACTAATTTTGTTAAACATGTCGCATACGAGTGGCATATGCGCTGTAAGCGATGGCCATCTACTCCCCATGAAGTCAACTTCTCCATCTGCGTCCAACCTTCCCCACATCTTTCGACTGCCACGCGAGCTTCGAGATATCATTTACGACTACTACATCCGCTGCGATGGCGGCTATATCTTCGATTCAGAAACCCGAAGGTTCATGCAAACGAATGGGGAGCCTGTATGTTATGCGTTGGCGTTTACTTGCAAACAAGCCGCCTCCGAATTAGAAGGGCTACCTTTCCAGTTGAATGCACTTACCTTCTCTTCCACCAATTCCACCTCTACATATGAGAAAGCCGGCCTTCAACATCATGTCGCCCTGATGCTCAGATATTCGAAGCAAGTCTTGCTCGAGCAGTTACTTAAGAAGTCCAAACTCTTTACGCGACCAATGGCACAGGCGGCCGCCAAAAGCTACCCACAATTTGCCGGACTCATCGATGAATGGGTGCGCAGGGGACATTCTTACACACACGGAGAATACAAAGATAGCTATGGTGAAGCCAGGTCCAGCTGGGATGACTTTGTGGAACACATTCTGGACTTGATGTCCGAATGCCCTGACTACGCGGAGACTGTCAAGGATTTACCGGACAGAGTTGTGCGCTGGCCCCTGAGAGGATGTCACGATCTGTTGCGACTAAGGGACGCAGATCTCCGGCCCTGGCGCATTCTCGATCATGCTGAGCTCGAGCGCTTGTCAGATATGCTGCCCAGCTTCTTGGAGACTGAGCGACCTCACGAGAACACGTGCTATAACTATTCAGCAGCTGCTGTGGCACTGCAGTTCCTCGCTTCCTGCACCAAGAATATCCGATCTTTCGTCCGCAAGATTATCCTTAAGGAAAACAACGTATCGGTAGCACAACCCGAATGCCACAGTCGAGGTTTCATTCCCATATGCCAAGAAAACAGATCACTCCGGATTGAACGCCACGTAGACCTATGGAAAGCCGTGTTCCTGGTTTCTCGCCGCGGTCAATACGACATCCGGAAGTACATCACAGCCGCAAAAAGTGACCAGGACAGCAGCGACTTTCGGGGCGACCGTTTGCGCGCTTATAACGTCACAAAGTCGATAGGAAAATGGGTGACTGAAGTAATGGCTTTACAATCTCTCGGGATGCCGGAAGGTTCGCATACGCTTGTACTAGATGGAGACCCCATTCCAAACCACACAGCTAACGTGTTCCGAATCGTGCAGCGGGATGCCGCATGGCAAGCTGCACTGGAAATATGTTACTCCCTCGATGTATTCGCGTTCAGTCCTTCGTGGCTGAATAGGCGCCTTCACCAGGCTTTTGCCTTCAGCGGGCTGCCTGAGATGATTCGTACGCTTTCCACGGATAGTGCTCCAGTCAGGTGTAACTTCACATTGCACTCGCCGTTCGATCTCGACAGCGAGGTTCAGGAACTACTTGAGAGATCAGGAAATCTCTCAGGTCATAATAATCAATGGAAGTGGGCGAAGGATTGGGGCACACGGTGGAGCAGACACAATCCGTTAGGATTCCAGACCGAAGCACCGTTACCGCCTTGGCATATGCTTTGCTGGCGGCATGTTCTGCCACAGATCCCTCCTACGTACTTGAGGCGATAGCAAACCGAGGTCTTTCGGCACGCGGTCAATCACATCGATCACGAGATGTGATGCACGCACCTCATGTATGTAAAAACCCGAACGGGTCTGGAGACTCCATTAGGATCAAACAAGCAAATTACAAGATCTAGTGTTAATGCTGTTACTCACTAGTAAGGTCTTTTGTTGTGATGGCTAGTACACTCACTGTCTCTTTGCCTGCGCGGTCCATCCCTTCCGGTACAACACCATCGCGGTAGCGTGCCCACTACGAAGTCGCGGTGCGGGATGTGCGGGGCGTGGTCAAAGCGCAGGGTGGATCATGACCCGTCACTACCTACAGAAAGGACGCCACCACACCGCCACTCCACCCATAGATGAGGAT